TGGTTTTTCCTATTAAATATACAGAATGACGTAATGGTGAAAGGCCTATGCCAGTCGCCTTTTCTCAGGGGAGTGTTACTGGGAGAAGGGACTCTGGATGGGACAGCCTGGGTTCAAATTCAGCTCTGCCATTCGCCAGTTACCTTCCTCAAGATATTCGATGCTTTCTGTGCCTCAGTTTCCTTACTGAAGGAGGGGGCATAATATTAGCAAGTACTTCATGGGGGTGGTTGTGAGGATATGAGGTCATAAACATGAAAAGCCTGAAACCCTGTCCTAACACATAGGGCATCTTTCAAAAAAGCATATTTTTTATTTTTAAGTGTACCCCTCTGGGGCTTGGGAGTGGGAGTTTTTCTGCAGTCAAAAATTCTCAAAACTCAGCAACTCTGCATGATGATGACATGCCTTCAGGGGAAAATTTCGACAACCAGAGAAGAAAAGCCAGTTTGTTTACTCATCAACTGCTTCAGGATAAAGTACATTTGGTTCTATAACCATTGAGTATTAAGAATAAATTGTGAAGGTAGTATTTACTGATTTCTATTTAGAACCCAAGCTTGGTAGAGTTTTGAAGACAAAAGGCTAAACATGTCCTATTGACCAGGTTTTTCTGTATTCTGGGGGTTTGCTGCTTTGTTGCCTTTTAGTGGTATTGTTTGGGAATTAGTCACGACTGTGTGAATAATGTTTTGGAAAATTGCTTTCTGGGATACATTCATCTTTCTTTTTTGAAAATGCACATTGACAATCAGTCTGGCTGGATACTGGGGAGATCCTATAAGATGTAAAATGGTTTAAAGTGCTTTCGGTTTCAGAGACTGTCTTCTGAAGTCTCCAAAAATGATATTGGATCTTGTGGGAGGAAATCTTTTCCAATTTTCTAGGTTTCTGTAAATATATATGTTATATGGTTATAAAACTTCATGTTGGAAAATATGTTTAAGAAACATTAGTGGACTCCCAGACAGGGACCGCATAAAAGACGCCTAACACATTTAATGCCCTAGTTAAGTGTATCGCCCAAGTCCCCGTTTTCTGGAACTGGATAAACAGAACATCTTTTCTCTTTCTATTCTGAGCTCCCGTTTTCCCCCTCCTCCACCCAGCCACTTCAACTGCACAATAAATGGAAATCTTATTTCCTGCATCTGCAGACCTATTTACCTGAATGTCTGAGCTCACCCTTGCCTTTCTCAGGTCTTTCTGAAATGTGCTTTTGCTTTCATCTTCCTGGCTCCATTGCCCCCATTTTTAAAAGCCTTCTCTAATCCTGCACTCCATGTACTTTAATCTGTAATGTTGGACATTGCATTCTGCATAGCCACCTTTTAAACATGCATTATCTGCCAGATTCGCATTTCCTTTCATTGTGCATTTAAATCCCTTTTCACAGTCTGTAATAGTGAAAAAAAATAAAGAACTATTATCAAAAGCCATTTCTGCCAATTTAAAACACCTAATTGGATGGCTTTATCCCCTTTGATAATTCCATTATCTTTGCCAACTGTGACTTCGATTTGCAGTTCTTTTTGTGTGTATGTTTGTGTATATGTATTTACTTACATTTGTTACAAACAGGAAGAACCTTATGCCCCGTGCCCTTTCTAGTCTTTTATTTTTGGAACTCAGAGAATTGGTGATTTTAAAATAAGAAAAGGGGTGTGTGTGTGTATATAAATGAGAGACTCTTTGAGGCCTGTATAGCAAAAAATGTGCTGACCCCTTATGGATTTAATCCATTTAATAAAAAGCATGTCAGTTTGGCGGACCTCCTTTTTTCCAAAGTAAAGTTCTTAATCGTGTAGAGTAGTGAGTATGTTCTAGTCTGAGCTGGCCAGCTGGGGAGACTTTGGGGAAGTTCTAACCTTCTTATGGTTAACCACCATGCTCCAGCTTCCTGCCTATGGAACAATGTGACTGGACTAGATGCTGTCTGGGATTACAGGCATGGCGGGCTGCATGTAAGTGTCTGTGGTGTGTAACTGTTCCACGGGAAACACCTGCTGGTGGAACAGGAGGAGGCCTGGTAAATCAATCATGGTTGATATCATGGTTTTCCTACCCTGGAGAGGATGCATCGCCCTACCTGGCCTGGGCCTGTTTGCTGCAGCAACAGGAAGTGTGCTTCCCATCCTTTTATTGAGGTGGGAATACTACAGATCATAGTTAAAAGAAAAGCATCTGTTCAAGGCTCAAAAAAACATGCCAGCCCTGCTGGTCAATGCAGTGAAATGTTTTTAATGCCTCCTAAACCTCTGTAAGCATCTGCTGAGGAATGTTAAATCAACCGGAGAATCTCTGGTGTGATGTTTCCTAGACCAATATTGTATAGTTCTCATGGCTGCCCCTGAGAGATTTTCGTTCTCTGCCCCTGGCATTGTCTGCATCCTAGTGATACTCTTGGACTGACTTCCACCTGAACCCCTTTGACCTCGTGCAATTAAAGCACCAGACTTGACAGCTTCTGTCTTTAGTTTCTCAGCCACTGGATTACCCCGTGTGCTTTGTGCCACCTGTTCATACATAAAACTTCTGTCCCTTCCTAATAAGAGGAAGCTGGAAGTTAGGATCTTTAATTGTGTCTGCAAACCAACCAACAGAACAACATGTTTGGGACTGATCTTATAGTGTGATGTCAAACTTGAAATAGAAACCCTTCCTTCCCAAACCCCACCTCTAAGCCCTGTTTTTATTGCCGACCACATGAAATCAAAGTTCTGGAGCACAGCTGCTCAAAGGCCGAAGGTCCTCACGGTCACAGCATGCTTTGGAAGCTCTCCCCCACCAGACTTGCAGTTAGAGAAAATATTTGTGTTGCTTGATATAAACAAAGTTTATGGGCAGATTTTCTAATTAGGAATCTCTAATTCTCTTTTACCCTTGAATCCCCAGTTTCTCTTGTATCACATTAGAGAATATTAAGTATTTAAGAAAATAAACCCTTTCTTAGTTGTGAACTTTTTATTTCTGGTATTGTCACAAGAGGTGCATTTCTCCCTAATTTCGTGTCTCCATCCAAATTCAGGGACTTGAAATCCGGGCTCTTGTTTTTTCGTATATGTGTAAGTAGGAAAGACAGTGCCTCTTCTCAGCACCTGCTCCTGTCAGGCCACCCTCAGCCATTTGACTGCCCAGGGTGGTGGCTGAGGCATCATAAGGGCAGCTGCAGAGCTAGGTGGCTCTCTTCAAGCCACATGGAAAACCAGTGTCACCTCTTCAAGGTCCCACCCCACATCCTGGGGTTGTGGGCTGTGGCCTTAGTGCTTTCCAAGTTCTCGTCTCTCTCCTAGTGTTTCTTGCTAAACATCCAGGAATCAGGCGACCAGGCACCATTCTTGCAGGCACAGCGCCTGTTTGCATTCCTAAGATGACACCAAGGTGCCAGTAGGGACTGGTCATATGAGAGTCAGATATGGGCTCAGAAAGAACAACTGCCCCTTCTACTTTCACAAGTCTCCTTGGTGTAGTGGCATTTGGCCCCAGTGGGAGTAGGCCTTACAGTGCACCGCCAGCTCTGCCTTAAGGCCCATTTCATTGCCAGACAGTTGAAAGGGAGGCAGCTGGGAAATGGCATGCCCTGCGTCAGGACCTCAGGAGGGGTTTTTTAAAAGATTACAGGTTTGACTATGGTGGTATAAGACTAGCTCTGGGTCCTGGGAATTGAAAGTGGTGGTATCTTACAGTGCAGACTCAGGAGGCAGGGTGGGTGAGGTTTGTTGTAGGAGGACCACTCATGTGGACTTAGGAGGTATGGAGATCCTATTTTAAACACCATCCCCTACTTCTCCATACCTCCTCCCATGAAAAACAAGCACAAGGATGCAATTTGAACTGGATGGTTTTGGGTCGCATCCTCTTTGAGCCTTGTGCACAGAAATCTGAAGAAATTGAGCTCCTGCCTGGCTAGACCGCTTCGATTCAAACCCAGGCCATGATTTTTCAGAGTCTGGAAGGCATGGTGAGGACCACTCGGATAGCATTTGTCAGACTCGTATGTTCGTGGAAAATTGTCTAAAGCTTTCCAGTGCTGCTGTATATTATTGAAGTTCGAAGATGTTTTTAATCTTCAGGATAGCTTACCCTCCTGTGCCTGCACTTCCTCAGCTACTTCTCAGTGGGGAGAGGGGAGGCGGCGATGGGTGGAGAGGGACAGCAGGAGGGGCACCTGTGATCTGAGTGCTTTCGGGTTGGATTGGCTGGCGGGGGTGGTGGGGGTGGTTTTTCAGTGAGGCTGGTCCTAGCCTACATCTTCTCTTCTGTGTACACTCCCTTCACTGTAATTGCATCTTGTTTTTTTCTTTGGATCTGCTTACTCTAGAAAGTTTAATTTCATAATAGTAAGCTTGCTTGTCCTTCAGTTCACGTAGGGACTGAATGCCGAGGAGAACCTGTGTAAGTGAGCCATGGTTCTAGTCTCAGGACTAAGGGTTTGGCCTGGGTGAGTTATAGAAGGTTCTACCCTGTGCCATGGGGAGTGTGACATGGATCAGATGAGAGAAGACATGTATGGGGCTGGAGAGAATGCAGGCTAGACCCTCCCTTAGACTTTTTTTTTTTTTTAAGTCGGGGGATGCCAGAGAGTTGTGGAATGGATCTTGGTGTTTGAATCTGTTTTACTGATACCTATGTAAGACCAGTAACCCCCTCTCTGACTTTAGGCTGAAATCAAAGCTACTTGTGGGTCATTCATATTTGATCTTGATTTAATCTCAGATCAGTGGCTTTCTGGACGCATTGTTACGAATGAAACCAGACCAGTTGGTACAGTGCAGAAAAGGTACGAGGCAGTTTATTGATGCTGGAGCAGTGAAACTTGAATTTTCCCTCACGGAATAAAAAGTCACAGAGTGGTAGAGGGAAAAAAAGTTATTAAAAATGTTCAGCACACACATGTATGATATATGGGAATTACATTGTAAGAATGTAGTTCTTGGGGATTAAATTTGCTTCTACCTGTAATGGGTGGTCTAACCTAAGATTTTCTTTCTCCACTCCAGGAGGTGACTTTAGTCCAGAGACTTCCCCTCCAGTCCTGCCCCCTGGCCTTGGTGGTGACTTTTCTGTGAGCAGCCTTCCTATGGCAGAGGACACCTACAGGGTGAGCTTGGCCAAAGGTGTCTCCATGTCGCTGCCTTCATCACCTCTGCTGCCTCGACAGTCTCACTCAATGCAGTCAAGATCAAACAAGAAATCCCCAGGTAAACAAGCAACAGAACAGCACCCAGACCAGTGGTCTTGGTTATATATGTAATACACGTATTGAAAGTAAGCAAAACTTGTGCTTATCAGAAATCTGGGAGCAGATTTTTTTCTTTGTTACAGTAACTTCTGGAAGAAGGAAATCTTTTTTAAAATTATGATTTGAATAGATTCATTTCTTTAATTCACCCTGTATATAAAGTATATATTGATGACCCAGGCTAGACTTTAGCCAAGATTTAAGATCTTGTTATCAAATGAACGTTAACCATCAGTTTTGTTGGTTTTTTTGCTCATGAATTGGGAATACTTTAACCTAAACACATTGTGGTGCATTTAAAGGTTTTGGATTTTGGCAAGTGTAATCTGATAATTATTACTACCAAGTGTTACATACCAATGTGTTTTCCTTAATTACATCATCCAGCATTTGAACAGCTATAAAATTTAATTGTTTCTGAAAAATCAGACTTGTAGAGTGTCAAGGGGGAAAGGGACTTATGGATTACGTGGTTAAAGCATTTTTCGCTTTCCTCATGCTTACCAACTTTTTATCCTTAACCATTACCAATAAAAACCTGACATAGCTTAGCTTGGAGAGGTTATGAATCAGATGTGAGGAAAGCCTTTCCTAAATTCTGATTCCTGGAGTCATAAAAGTCCTTTGATCTTTTAGATTTGCTGAGTGTTTGTTTACTGAGGGTGGGATAATTTGGGGTCTTATTGATTATAAGGCCAGTGCAGATTGTTCTCATTTATACGTAACATGTTTGGAATTAGTCTAAAATGTGCCCTGGGGCTGTAAAATTGGTATTTGTTTTCTGGTTTTGTAGATATTTGTATTTTTTTATGTCATATGTGTTATTTCTGAATCATTTATAGTGGATATTTGTGGTTTGTGGGGATGTAAAATTAAGAGGGCAACTCTTAGGGCTTTGACTCGGTAGAAATGGTTCTATGAATTGGTGAGTTTCCAAAATATTTTATTGTTCTAGAACTTTCTTATTTTGGACAACATTGTTTACAATCCAGTCATTAGCTGGAACTTAGAGACCTTTTTGGTATGAAGTGATTTCCTGTGCCAAGGAATTTGACCTGTTTGTCAGTATTTGGGGAAATTCCTGGAATGTCCTTTCTTCCTACTACTTGTCCTCCCCCTCTCCTTGTATCCCTGTCAGATTTCTTCTCTTCTTTCAAATCATAGTTTCCATGCTGCCTTCCTTGCCGGCTGCTCCCCTTCTATAAGTTGTGCACAGCATTTACTTTTCCTTTTACCAGCCACATCGCTTGTCCCTTTTCCTTGAAATGGAGTGTTTATGTGCTTCCCATGTCTGAGCTTGAGGATGGGCACAGTGTCTTTTCTAAGCGCCCCTCGTCCATATAAAATAGATAACAGAATCCGAACCCTTCTGGGCTCTTGAGGGACCTCAGTGGAGGGTAAGCCACGTGCAGAGATTTGATTGTTAGGACAGTTTTCAGGGTGTCCCCCCCCCAATGTATACACACTTTGAATGATTATAAAGTCAGTGTTTATCAACAGTTTATTTTCAAAATTTAAAAGAATCTACAGAAATGAATAACTTTTTTGTCAATGCCTGTTTTCAAACTGATGGCTGTTCTGGTCCAGGCACTGCTGATAGCATGAAGCAGTGGAATCACAAACATCAAGAATCATTTTGTTCGATATTTGTGCACTCTCAATTCATTGACTGTTGCCAGTTTTGTACCGTAAACTTTATTTTATATATCCTCCCCAAAAGTCTAGTGGCGCTTTAGGATAAATTTTCTTTGTTAAAAGCTTAGTCTGGCTTCACCCATTATTTCAAATCGGTTAAACCTGAACAGGAGTGAAAATTGAGTTATCAGCTGTTCAAGTGTGTATATACATTTTTTGGAGACATCGCGCGTGTGTGTGTGTGTGTATGAAAATGATTACAGTAAGGTTAGTTAATACAACCATCACCTCACATAGTTAGTTTATTTACTTGGTTATGCAGTGTCATTTTAGTGGGATGTTAGGTAGCAGTGAGTGGCATGGCAAGCCTGGGAAGTACGGCCATCCAGAAGGGTCTCTGGAGCTGTAAGCATGCCCGCAGGGAAGTCCCTGACAAGGCCTTGCTCCTGTGTCCTGACCAAATTACTTATCTTTGGTTTTGAGAAACTATCCCAGAGTTTTTCTCCATAAAAACAATATTGACTTCTGCTAACATCTTTGCAAGGCCTTATGAATAGAAGGAAGAAGTTCTGCAACATTCAACCTTTTAATGGAGTGAAGAAAATATTCTCCATATTAGATGCTTTTGGCACAAGTGCTAATTAAATACACTGAGCAGGTTCTTCTCTTAGTGGAGCAGTGCTTGTGTCATGCCCAAATCTGTGCAACAAATTAGTGTCTCACTGTGGTACTTCGGCTTTATTATCTTCATAATTTTAATTCAAAAAGGAAAGTTAAGGGCAGAGAAGCTTGCTTAAAAATGGCAGTGACTCAGAATACATCAGACAAATAAACAGCATTTTCCCCACGGTGTCTAACATGCACAGATTTCTGTCTAAGCCATATTGTCGGAAAACTATCCAGAGCCCTAATGTTCTACCTGCAAAAATAGCTGACATATGGTTGTGAACGTGCACTGGGTTTAAAAATAGCCATGTATTTTAAAAAGTAGCACTGTTGTTAACGATACAGTAAATACATTGTGCTGTGCGTGCAGTGCCCACAGGTATGGATCCCTCCCCTTCCACTCCCCAACCCCAGTGGGATCTTGTCATCTTTCAGACCCAGCTCTGAAATTACCTTGATGACTTTTGTTCTCATTTTTAAGACAAGACCCCTTTCTCTCTCTTTTAAGAAGGTGCTTTAAAAAAACACCACCAAACCTGTTTTACTTGTTTGGATAGAAACTCTTCACTAATTGATGCTAATCAAGAAACTGTCAAGGACCAAAACTATTATTCTAGCAGAGGTCAAATACTATGAACCCCTGTAATAGGCACTCACACAACCTGTATTAATGAAGGCTTGTGTACTGGTACAGTTGGTCGTTAGCTCCTGGGCCATGGGAACTCTGGGACAATTTCATTAACCTTGCAGTACTGTGACTGCGTTTTATGTGATTTTCTGAAGAACATTCTACTTACATTGCTCATTATTATTTTTATTTACTTTCCTACTAACCTTGCTCCATTTGCTTATTTTTTACTGCTAGTTGAAAAAGATGCAGTTTTTCTGAGCATTTCAAATCTGTTTTTTCTAGATGGAAAATACGTTTTCTGGTAATAAAAACAAGGACCAATGTCCATTAAAGTGATTCTGTGGCTAGTGCAGGCCTTTTTGGATTAAGAATTCATTAATATTTGTAATGCATCCTTTTGTCTTCCCGAGAAGAGCAAAGCCCATTTCCTGTGGTTTGTTTATTAGTAATATCATTAGTTACTTTATATTTGGAATTACATTTCCCAGGTCACTTTAGGCCCATTATGAAACAAACAAAAGGTACTGCACCAATGAGAAGCAACCTTTTAAAATACTGTGAGGGCTGGGACAGCAGATGGTGACAAGTGGTGATACAGCTTTTCTCATCCTTGCTTGCATGGGGTGACTGGGTTCCTGCCGGCTGTTTGCATCTTTGCTGCTGCTTGCTCCAGGTCTGTCTCCTTTAACAGAGCTGATGTAGCAGTTTTGAAAACCCCTCTGGCTGTCTGTGTCTTTAAGGGAAAAACCTCAAAGCTGACAGGCTGTAAAGTGGAAGCCATTCTGCCCTTTGATTTTTGAACCATGAGTTAATGTCTGCCAGGCCCCGCCCTCCCTCACCACACGTGTTTCTTGTAGAAAATTGGAAGTCCCAGCATACAGAACTACTCTTAGAGTTCTGATTTTTCTAGTGTGTTTTTTTTAAAATCAATTCCACCTAAACCTGAGACCACATGTGCTTTGCCGTTTTTCATTTAATACATCATGAGTAATTTCCAGTTTGCTTGAAGTACTTGATATTGAATGTCCATTGTTTCAGTTTTCCATAATTGATTTTTAACTAATTTTAATGTACAGTTCAGCAGTGTTAAGTACATTCACATTGCTGTGCAACCAGCCCCAGAACACCCGCTGTGAATATTTCTGTCCAGTCATTTTTAATCCACAGCTAGTATCTCAAGAGTGGCAGGTTCCCAGAAGTGGAATTATTGAACTAAGTGGACTGCATTTTTAAAGATTCTTGATACATAGTGGCCAGTCACTTTCCAGAAAAGCTGTATTGATTTTGTATGTCCTCTGGCATTCTCTGAGAGGCTGCTTTTGGAAGTAAACCTCTTCAGGGAACAGTCTTAAATGGATGGAGCTGGTAGGTGTTTGTCAGGCTGAGTTGTGGACTCCTGCGAATTAGGAAGAGGAGACTGAGAAGTCACTCTGGAATCTTCCTTCTCTTTTGTCTACACTTCTCAGACAATTTCCATTTTCTTTCTTTCCATGATAGTCAGGGGAATTGTCACAGCTGAGTCAGATCAAGTTCTTGGTCAGGACAATACTCAGCTGGCTTCCAGTTTTAGCTACAACCCCGCAGTCTGTGTTTTGTGGTGAGAATTATGGAGGATCAGAGACACGTTAGAGCTGGCAAGGCCTCTACAGCACATCCAGCCAGGCCTACTTGCAGATACAGAACCGAAGATCTTTACAGAACTTGCCCCAATGTGCAAGTTATTGGTGGAGCTTTTCCTAAGCCCAGGCCCCCCCTCTGTCTCCAGCACATTCTCCTATGCCAGTCTGCATTGGTGTGTCCATTGTTCACATACATGTTGTTAATGGCTCGGCTTTGTGTCCTGGCTGCATGTACCTGGGGAGGTCATAGGCTTAAGGTTGTGCACGTGTGTGTCTGTGATGCTCCTTCTCAGGGAGGTGGAGAATAACAGGAGATGCAGCCAGTTCTGGGCACTGCTTTCACCTTTGAGTGGTCAGGGCTGCAGTCAGGGATCTGACCTGCAGCGAGGACAGTTCCTCTTGCTGTGA